AACCAAAAAAAAAAAAAAAAAAAAAATCTTTATCAGTACCCCTGCAAAGAACAGATATCCCAGTAATGCTCTACATCTTCATCCCTATGGCAGACATAACAGTTGATAGGTTAATGGGGGGGGGAGCCTCCATGAACCTTGGAGATGGGTATTTTTATTTAGAAATAAAAGGTGAAAGCTGCTAGGAAACAACTACTGCATCCCCCACAATGGGTCATTCCACTATTTAACAGGTGCAGAAAAACTGGAGGGCAGACCTGCTTATCCAAATGTGTACACAGTCCTGCAAGCATTTGAAAAACAAAGTGATCAGTTCATAAGATATGATCACAATCTCGCTAAAGAGAAGGATGAGATAAGATACTTAATACCCTTGCAGGAGCCAGAAGAGGGGCTGAACTCCTAAGAATTATGTTACTGTTCTCATGATCCAAACTGTATTCATCTGCAATAGCTCTGGTACAGCCTACATCAGCATAGCTGATGCCCATTGATGCTTACATTTTAAACTAGTTTTCTCATTCTAAAAAATAAATCAAGTAAGAATAGCCAGACCACTCTCAGCCTAAACTATTTGGGAGTAAAGTCATTGTGATACATTAAAGAATAAAAAACAAAAACTTTAGAGTCATCTGACAGGCATTCAGGATGAAATTGGTAATCTATCCGAAAGTAACATCTTAAAGGATGCCACCTGCAGGTCAGACAGGATGATGGCAAGAACTGGGAGGAATATGGGACCAAATATTAATCTTCTATACCTTGGACAGGCAGATTTTCATCATTCAGCTGTACAAGAGCTTAACCTAGATGTATTGAGAAGAATAAGGAGTTAAGCGCTGCAAGTGGTGGGAGAAAGAGGGAAGACAGAAATAGAATATTCCAGCAATTTCACTATTATTTTTATGGATAACCAAATTTTGGGCCACATTTAATACCATTGGTTTGGCCTCCAGCCACTGGTTTAAGGCAGTGGTCAGACTGCCTTCAGTTACTATGATTCATTTACTATTTTGTACCAAGTTTGGCCTATACTTCATATTGTGGCATAAACAGTCCATTAAGTATTCCTTCCTGTACCTCAGATTCTACTTCAAGAATTTCATCTCCTGCTGATGGGATTTCCTTCCAGCCCATGATTTCCACTGGCAAGCCAGGAGTGGCAACAGCCATTGTTTGACCATTTTCATCATACATCAGGCGCACTTTTGCCCAGCTTTTCCCAGCAATTAGGACACAGCCTTTTCTCAGTGTTCCTCTCTGGATGACTGCTGTGGTTACTGGACTAGAGAGAAACATAAGGGCGGGGAATAAATTTTTGTATTTATCAGTTACAGAAATTACCATATTCACTCACACACTGCATATACCTTTTCCCCCAATCAGCTCTCCAAAACTGGGGAGCATGTTTCAAGCAGAAAAAACTTGTTTTCTGTGCTGAACAGAGGTATGCAGGCATAGTTGGCAGCTATAATGGATGGTGTGCTTCTTTCCCTGCCAACTCCAGGGAGACAGGGCAGAGTTTACCTGTTCAGAGTCAGAACTGGTGTTAATCCTTTCATATATGTGGCTAAATTGGTAGTAGCTTTCAGCTGAGTAGCCAAAAGCTGCTGCCAATTTGGCAGTGACTATGAAGGGGTTAAAACTCTATCTTTGGTGTGACTGCTATTCTAGAAAGTCGCATGGACTTTAGCCCTGTGGTCAGGACTCAGCCACGACTCCAGAAAAATCTTTTCTTCGTCCTTCTGTCTTCTCAAGACAAGGTACGTGCAGCATGTGAGAAAACTGTATATACTTTTAAGAAAAGAAAATAAGGAAATACAGGCAACAGGAGTCCACTGAATATATTAACGAAACATTTCACTGCTACAGTGAGAAAATTCTAGAGTCTTACGATGGAAAAAAGTTAGGTTGTGCCCTTTTGGATTTCTTAAGATAGGTGGAGGTTAAAGAATGTTTTATCTGTCATCTAGGGGTTGAACTCATGAAATCATAAAAGGATTCCCAGAAAATTCAGATTTGTCCTTGGTTATATTTCTAATATAAGAAACTGAAAAGAACTCTTATTAAGGGATTTTCGAGTATTCTTTACAAAAATTCAAAAAGGTGACAGGTAAAAGCCACAACAGTGAACTGACTTTTTTTTTAATATGTCTCCTTGAAAGACAATTATTTTTAAAGGAAGAAGAAAATCAGATGAAGTACTTAGTGGACTGTGTTAATAAAATATTTGCTATTTTATAACAAAAACTACTGCTAAACAGAAACTGTCAGATTAATATTCAAGAAATATTAAAAACCATCTTTACTACTAATACTTTGTTTGAAGACTATTTAGTTTGTGATTCACTATTTACATTGCTAATTTATATTACAAGATTTCATTCGACTGGCAGGATGAAAATATCCTGCTAAGCTTTTAGCTGCTTATCTCCTGGTTCTTATGCCAGGAAATAACACTGGAGAGGAACAGGTTACACCAAAGTAAAGACTTGCATTTGTTTAAAAAAAAAAAAAAAAGAGAAAGAAAAGAAAACTTTTACTGAAGTATTTCTAGGAGTACTAGAGTTTTGTAATATAATGTTGTAATCAAAACCTAAATTTTGGAGCAGAAATCACCTGGATGGTGTCTTTTTAAGTACCTGGAATAAATGCAATATAAACAGTAACCACAGGTGTAAGGGAGTCAGATGACAGGCTGACCTACCCTTTTCCTTTATCTGTGCGAGACTCTATTACAACTCCCTCGACGAGGCCAGTGAAGTCTGCCTTCAGTTCTAACACTTCTGCAAGAGCAACTGTTGCCTCTGCTAAGGCCATCAGGTTGTCACCCTATTACACAACAGTTAAGAATTAAGGTTGCAGCTAGTTAAAACAGAATCCAAAGATCTCTCATTGCCAGCTCCACACTCCTACATGGTCCATAATTCCCAATACTGCAATGCACCCTAATCTGTTGGGGTGCACATCATGGAAATAATACAGGGCCTGAGACTGCTGCTGTACTAGTCTTGAAGGCAAACAGTAGATGTTAAGGTGCAAGCAAGACTCCCTTCTTTCTCCTTTCATAAATCAGCAGCAACACTGCCTCAGTATCAGGTTAGGTCTAGGAATTGTAAGGGAAAGGATGTAGAGACAAGGACTGCCCATTGGGTAGAAGAAAGAACACAGTTTGGGATTTAGCATGCATCCTTTTGCAACCAATTCTGGACAAACTGTCCAGAACAGAACATAGCACACTGAATAGTAAGGTAATAATTGGGTACCAGAAGGGTAAACAGAAACTTTTTTTAAATTTTTTGTCAGTGTGAATGACCTTAAAAGTTTAATTGCAGTAGTGCAAATACTGGCCTGAAATTTCAGAAAGGAGTATGGGATAAATTCACAATGACAGCAATGAAGTCATTACAACACTGTTGTTGTAATTGCTCTTTCAGTTCTCATGAAGAAACAGTATGATCACCACAAAGCCAAGTACAAATAGCAATGACAGGATTTTAGATTACTGTAATTAACTATCAGTTACCAAAAGGGAGTAGGTTTATGCAACTTGCTCTCTCTTACCAATTGTGCTTTGTGTTCAGATTTGAATTATAAAAATTCTTTTACTCAGTCTAACAGAAGTAGAACTCTTCCTCCAACAGCATTTTATCCAGCATGCAAACATGAGGAAGTGACAGCTTGAAGGATCCTGGAACAAACACCCACTAAACTTCCAGCACAAAAATTAAAGGAAAGACAACTGGAATTTTGTACTTCTATACCATTTCTCACCAGGGGACTGATGCAGCAAGACACCAAATGCCTCTGGCTCTGACTGACTCCCACAGGAGCTGACAGCACTTTGCCTACCTCAGGATTAGACCCCCGAGAAATGCCAGGAAGAGAAGTTTTATTTTCCCTGGGTCAAATGAAAACTTAGCTGCTTGCCACATGGTAGAACTCTTCAGACTTGATCACTACAGCAACAAAACTTTACCTTACGTGCAGAGATATTTACAGCCTGAACATCACCCCCATAATCTTCACAAACCACATCATATGCCAGCAATTCTTTCTTCACCTTTTCAGGATCAGCTTCAGGTTTATCACATTTGTTTATAGCAAGGATGATTGGGACTGAAAGAAAGGTACAAGTGTTACAAACTGCAACCAGCCACAGCTTCAACCCCATACAATCATCTGTCCACCCCACTTACACCACACAAAAGTTGAGAGTACCAATTTTCTTTGTTAAATCTGTAAAATCTACACTGGGCAGTACTGCCTATTATGATCATCTAGGACAATGCATGCCATAGTCTTTACTGTCCATCTCCTGCTGCAGTGATATATATTACTAGAGTTAGCAACAGCATTGATTGGTTCCAAACCAACCGTCTCACCTTCAGCTATGAAACTTAATTGGGAAAAAGATCCTTGTGAGCCAGGAATCCTCCACTAAGAACATGGAGAGAGAAAAATAAAGCAGTTCTTGCTCTTCTCCATGTATACTAGTATCTACACCATTGCATCAAAAGCTAAATTTTCTTGAGGCACATTATGACAAAAAAAAGAACTGGTCATCTTCTCCTTCCCCTAAAGAGATCCCACATACTCCTTCCTGGAAAATGAACTGTGAAAAATCTGGAGTTTATGCCCTGATCCACTTGACCAAAAAGAGTTAATTAAAATATAACTTCATGAACCTTCTGCAAATACACAAACTATTCAAACTGGCAAATGTCTTTTGATGGCACCTTGATCCATTTTAAGTGGTAGGAGTGTAATTAAAACTTGACAAGACACTTGAAAATAAAATTTTGACATATCACAGGAACCAGCAGCATAATTTCAGATGTTAGCAGGTATTCCTTTTTTATTTAGAGAAGAAAAATATCCTAAACTTGAATAGATTGGCACTGAATTCCAGAAAGAGAAGTTCCTTACAATAAGTGGTGTTCTTTAAAAAGTGCTGCCATCATGCTCATCCCCTGTGGGTAATACAATTCACTTGAGCTTGCAGAGTTTTTGTCCCAGCTTTGTGCATACAGCATGCACAGGCCCTGCCTCTTCTTGGGCGCCATGTCAATTCACTCTTCCCAACCCTCATTTTCTCTCATTTGCAAAATCCCAGGCTACCAGTGACACCAAGGAAGAGAGGAAGGAGGATGGGATGTGGATCATGCATAGGGACAGTATTTCAAGGAACTCCAGTTACTGGTAACTTCTCTCTCCTTCAAGGGTTTGTCCAGATGCACAGTATACTGTGGGCCACTCCAAGCAGTACCCCATTCCACTGGAGGCATACCTTAGAGTCCTAAGCTATCAGGAAATGGATGACTTCTTTACCGAACACAGGACCTACTATGGAAGTTTCCACAGTGCTCAATAAAGGTATGCATGGAGGAGGGCTTTAAACTAGGCTCACTGGGGGACAGAGAGCAAAGCCCCAAGGTAAGTGGAGAAGCAGGTAACATAAAGAAAGCACAAGCTGGAGGGGACAACAGGGGAGGCCACCTCATTCTAAGAAAGTAGGGCAATCGGCTAGTTACCTCATGTCTGTATATGAATGCACAAAGCCTGGAAAACAAGCAGAAAGAGTTGGAAGTCCTTGTGCAATCATGGAAGAACTATGATGCGACTGGAATAACAGAGACTTGGTGGGATAGCTCGCACGACTGGATCACTGTCATGGATGGGTACAAACAGTTCAAGAAAGACAAGAAGGGAAGAAGAGAAGAGGAGAAGGAGTTGTACTGTATGTCAAAGAGCTAGAGGACTGCTCCAAGCTCCAGTATGAAACTGGAGATAGGCCTGCTGAAAGTCTCCAGGTTAGGATCAGAGGGGTGAGCAACAAGAGTGATGTCATGATGGGTGTCTGCTATAGACCACCAGACCAAGAGGATGAAGTGGATGAGGCTTTCTCCAAACATCTAAATGGAAGTCTCCCAGATCACAGGCCCTGGTTCTCATGGGGGACTTCAATCACCCAGACATCTGCTGGGAGGACAATACAGCAGTGCGCAGACAATCCAGGAAGTTTGTGGAGAGTACTGGGGACAACTACCTGATGCAAAAGTGTTGGAGAGGCCAACTAGGAGCCATGCTCTTCTGGATCAGCTGCTCACAAACAGGGAATTACTGTTTGGAAATGTAGTAGTGGATGGCAACTTGGGCAGCAGCAATCATGAGATGACAAAGTTCAGGATCCTGAGGAAAGGAAGGAAGGAAGCAGAGCCGCACAATAAGGACTCTGGGCTTCAGAGAAGCAGACTTCACTTCACTCGGGGAACTGATGGGCAGAATCTCCTGGAAGGCCAGTTTGGAGAAAGGAGTTCAGGAAAAGTAAAGTTTCTTTAAAGGAACTTAAGGACACAGGAACAAACCATTCTGATGGGCAGAAAGACTAGCAAGTCTGGCATAAGACCACCTTGGCTTAGCAGAGAACTCTTTAAATGAGCAAAAACACAAAAAAGGAACCTTACAAGAAGTTGAAACTTGGACAAATGACTAGGGAGGAGGATAACAGTATTCCTGGGGCATTCAGGATTGAAAAATCAAGAAGGCCAAAGTGCAATGAGAGGTTTGTTTGTTTTTTTTTGTTTGTTTGTTTGGGGGTTCTTTTGGGGGTTTTTTTGTTTTGTTTTTTTTTAATAGATTATAGTCAGAAGGGACCCACTGGATCATCGTGTCCGACCCCCTGCCCCTGGCAGAAAAGAGGACCGAGGTCAGATGACCCCAGGCCAGGTGACTGTGAAGCCTCCTCTTGAAGACCTCTAGGTTAGGTGATAGCACCACCACTCTTGGAAGCCCATGCCAGACTCTGGATGCTTAGCAAATGTTGGTTTCTTGCCGGAACAAAAAATCTTCCCTTGAACATGTTCATAGAAATAATGCATGAGTGGGAGTAGCCTGCAACGTAGAAACCCCAGGAATGCGTCCCTGCTCCCCCAGACTCTTGAGAGTACTTTCTCATGTCTGATTGCTACAAGCCAGACAGAGTCAAACCCAGGACTTGGATCTCAGGAGCAAAAGGTGTGAACCCAAAGCAAATGCATATGGGGTGTCATGATAATTCAGGCACAATGCCTCAGTTTCCCCCACATCCACTAGAAAGGTAATGTGTCATTAACACCCCTGTGGTGGGGTGCAAGTAAAGCAGAAACACTAGATAACACTACAGTTGCAGCTAGCGAGGGACATGAAGGAGAATAAGGAGGGTTTTTCCAAGTATATCAACAAGAAGAGGATCAGGGAAAGTGTGGGGGAGGCTACCTACTGAAAGGTGAGTAGGAAAAGGCTGAAGTACCCAATGCCTTTTTTATCTCAGTCTTCAAAGGCAAAGTCAGCTCCCAGACTACTGCACCTGGCAGCACAGTTTGTGGAAGAAGCAAGCAGCCAACAGTGGTAAATGAACAGGTTAGGGACTATTTAGAAAAGCTAGGTGTGTATTAGTCCATGGGGCTGGATGCGAGGCACCCGAAGGTGCTGAAGGAGTTGGCCTGTGTGATTACAGACCACTAGCCATTATCCCTGAAAACTCATGGGGATTGGGAGAGGTCCTGGACAACTGGAAAAGGGTAACCATAGTGCCCATCTTTAAGAAAGGGAAGGAGGCAGATTTGGGGAACTACAGACTAGTCAGATTCACCTTGGTCCCTGGAAAAAAAAAAGGAGCAAGTCCTCAAAAGAATCCATTTTGAAGCACTTGGAGACAGTGGTCATTAGGTACACTCAACATGGATTCACTAAGGGCCAGTCATGCCTGACCAACATGACAAAATGACTGTTTCTGTGGATGCAGAGAGAACACTGGATGCGACATACCTCAAACTTTAGCAAAGGTTTTGATATGGTCTCCCACAACATTATTACAAGCAAGAAATATGGGTTGGATGAACAAAATGTAAGGTGGATAGAAAGCTGGCTGAATCGTCAGGCTCAAAGGGTAGTAATCAACAGCTCAATGTCTAGCTGACGGCCGGTATCAAGTAGAGCAGTGATTTTCAACCTGTGGTCCATGGAGCCCTGAGGGTTCACAGACAATGTCTAAAGGGTTTGCAAAACAAGACTATGATCAATCAAAAATATGTGAATACCCACACTTACAATTCAAAGGGATCTTCACCTCCATTTGGAATTTTGTAGGGGTCCACAAATGAAAAAAGGGTGAAAACCACTTAAGCAGAGTGTCCCAGGGGTCGATCAATATCTTCATCAATGATCTGGAAGATGGGATGGAGTGCACCCTCAGCAAGTCTTCAGATGACACCACGCTGGGGGGGAACAGTAGATATGCTGGAGGGTAAGGCTAGGATTCAGAGAAAACTAAAACTGGAGGATTGGACTAAAAGAAAAATCATAAGGGCAAGTGCAAAGTGCTGCACTTGGGACAGAATGATCCTAAGCACTAGTACACACTGAGGACTAGCTGGCTAAGCAGCAGCTCTGCAGAGAAAGACTTGAGGGTTACTATGAACAATGAGCCAAATATAAGCCAACAGTGTGACCTTGATGCAAAGAAGGCTAACAGCATACTGGACTACCTCAGGAGGAATGTTGGCAGCAGATCGAGGGAAATGATTATCCCCTCTACTCAGCACTGATGAGGTCACATCTGTGTCCAGTTTTGCCCCCCACCATTACAGAAAGCATGTGGACAAACTGAAGAGTTCAGCAGAGGGCAACAAAAATGGTTAGGAGGCTGAGGCACATGACTTCTGAGGAGAGGCTGAGGGAACTGGGCTTATTTAGTCTGCAGAAGAGAAGACCGAGGGGGGATTTAATAGCAACCGTCATCTACCTGAAGGTTGGTTCCAAAGAACGTGCAGCTAGACTGGTCGTGGCAGGTGACAGAGCAAGAAGCGATGGTCTCAAGTTGCAGCAAGGGAAATTTAAGTTAGGTATTAGGAAGAACTTTCTCGCTAGGAGGGTTGTTAAGCACTGGGATAGGCTACCCAGAGAGGTTGTGGAATTTCCATCCTTAGAAGTTTTTAAGACCTAGGTAGACTATGACCTAGGATGAGACAGTTGGGGATGGTTCTACTCTGAGCAGGGGGTTGGGCTAGATGGCCTACTGAAGTCTCTTCCAAACCCTAGTTTTCTATGATTCTATGGAGCTCTGGGTAGCTGCATTCCAAATATCAAGACGATAAACACTCTGTAGGAAAGCTATCAAAGCCATTTGGGACCTAGCAAAATGAGCTCTGATCTCTGTTGCTAAACCCATCTCAGCAACAGAACCCATGCTTTGTAGTGAGAGCTACAACTCAGTCTAAGCTCCACTATGCCAGAAATCATTTGACCTTTAGTTCTTTACTACAGAAATGAAGATCAAAAGAGAGACTGCCAGAAGAGCTTTCTTCACATCAACTGTACAAAGCAAGGCCTCTGGCTCTTGGGAGGGGGAGACGGGGAGTGAAGGAGTAGGTTATAATTTGGTAACCAAAGTGAAATTCAGTAAAAAAGAAACTGATGAATGTCTGTAAGGAACACCTATCAAAGGTAAAAATCAATGGGAGGAAATCCATCATCAGTTTCTGAACCCTACCTACCAAGGGCATTTTCACAGACAAATGGAGTAGCAAGGAGACTACCATCAGTTCAAATGGTGGGTCCACTTGGGGTTTGAGGATTAGGTTTAGGTCCCACTAGGCCCTTCCCTGAAACAAGAGAACTGACACTACTTCCTGGTGTCCAAAATGAATAAGTCTGGATGACTCCTGTCCAAGATGAGGACCCATAGAATGGAGTCCTCTAACTCCCACTCCCAATGCAAGGTGTACCTGCAGTAGCTTAGTTACTCAGTACCTAGGAAATATACTGCTGAAAGAGTTATCTAGTGAGAGATGAACTAGTTCCAGATGTCAAATGTCTCCCTGCAGGGGGAAGGAGAGATTTCAAGTCTCCTTGTTTGTTTAGATAACATACTATAGTGTTACTGCCTGTCATAACCTGAACATTTTGTCCTGTGATAGGATGCAGAAATACGACAGGCTCTGTGTACCAACCAGAGCTTCGGAAAACTGATATGCAGCTTGGCCTCCTTGGTAGACCAGACACCACTGTTTGAATGTTATTCCTGTGTGCTTCTCACCCACGAGGGAGACTTTGTTACAATATGACTAATGGATGAGAATGAGAAAATGTGACTTTCTGAAGGTACTGGCAGGGTCCTTCCCCTATGCAAGGCAAAGAAGCACTTGACAAACAATGAAACCATTATCTCGATACCAAGAACATAGCTCCCAAGGAAACAGATCATTCACAAGGCCTGCATGCATCTGAGGCACTTAAATGTCATGTGACTTCAGATGCACAGGCAAAAGCTGCAAGTGTTGAAGCTAATGAACAGTAGCCTAAGGAGTGTGACTAGCTTCTGCAGTTTGAGTGGGAAACCAAAGAGGCCACATTGAAAAAAAAGGAAAAGGCCCCTAATGCAGGAAACCAGGAAGCATGAAGTGGTGGTCAGTGCTTCTGGCACAGAAGGAAACGAACAAATAAGCATACTTACTCACAGTCACTCTCAGAGCTGAAAGACAAGAGTCTGACATGGAGACCTTTAATTGGTGATGCTAGGTGGCCCAGAGCTGGGGTCAGTTCCCCAGTTGTTGTTGAACTGATGAATCTAAGATTTGTGCAACACAGCCAGGGCAGGCAACACAGAATCCAGTTCTGGCTGAATCATCAGGATACTCAATGCCCAGAAGTCAAAGAAGCACTAGTAGACGGGATGAGCTAGCAGGGGGCAGCCAAGGAGCACTGCATCTTGGTGGAGCAGCCAGCTTTGGCACAGACATTCTTGGTAAGGCAAGGCTGATGCACTGGATCTGTGATGAGGAGGCAGTGAAACAGCTGAGAAGGCCCAGAAAGTGACCTCATCCCTGTGCTTTCTAGGCACTGAAAGAGTGAATTCTCTGCAACTGGATGTTGATGGGGGGACTTGAGTGCCAGGACACTGATGAGACTTGTAAGAACCCACCATGAAATATCAGATTCAGGAAAAATGAGGAAAAAAGGTGATGAGCCCCGTTTTGAGAGGTACTTTTCCTTTGGAATCATCTCTAGATCTGTAATTTCCAAAAGATGACTTCTCTGGCACTGATGACAAAGATGATTTCTCCCAAGCAGGAACTTGCCCTGGGGGTTCTGCCCTTCAGGCTAGGAAGCCGTCCACTTAAGTTTACCCAGGAGGTAGATCTGGAGTTTAGCTTCATGCTCCTTCCAGGTAGGGGAAGTAAATAATCTGTAAATTGTGCATCTTCCTAAGAATATGGGACTTCTCTAAATTGTAGAGGCACTGTGCTCGTCTATGGCAGGCACAGTACCATCACAGAGGGGACAGCTTGAATCCAGACAACTTAAGGAAAAAGAAGAAGAAGCTCGCTGAGCTAAGGAGACCACTTGGCACAGTTCTGGGAAGCCTTAGGTCTCTCTAAAAAAAATAACAGAGACAAGAAAATATACTGAAAAAGGTTCTGAGCGCAGCTATAAGCCAAGAACTTGGAATATACTACAGAAGCTTGGTCTTGTATGATATACTCCTGTACATTAGCATACCTAAAAACAACAACGTATTAATGGGTTAAAATATGCACAGTACCTTTGGCATTTTTAGCATGATCAATGCACTCTACAGTCTGTTCCATTACTCCATCGTCTGCTGCTACAACCAGTATGACAATATCGGTAATATGTGCACCTCTTGCCCTCATTGCTGTAAAGGCAGCATGTCCTGGAGTATCAAGGAAAGTTATCTTTTCCCCAGAAGGCAGATGAACTGTCAAAACACAATTTAAAATACAGTACATTTTAAAGAAAAGTAATGTGCAACATTCATCATTTTAATGGATATTTTTATTTTAAAAATGGCTTTTCTAGCCTACTGAAGCCAACAGACTACTTTTTCATAGCATATTTTATATATATATATATATATATATAAATAAAATAACTTCCAAAAAACAACAAAGAAATCTGCTGATGAGCACAGGCCCTAAATAATGACAGTGTGGTACATCCTAAAGGTAATATAAAAAATGATCTCCCAAGTATTTTAAGCTCATACGCCTTTCTTTGGGACTGGGAGACACATCAAATGGTAGTTTAGATCAATAATACATTTATACATGTTGGGATTGTCAAAAGGAGCCTGCAGCAGATAGGCATCCACTCTACATGGCCACAGCTGAAGCTAGGGTTTTTAAACTGAGATGAGCTGGTGCTCCAGCTGATATCAAAACCCACAGGTTCCTGGTTAGGAGAGTCTTGATTTTCTGTTCAGGGTCACACTAATCACTAAATTTGGGTCAAGGAAGAATTTTTCTTCTAAGTCAGACTGGCATGGTCTGTGGAGGGTTTTGTCTTCTCTATAGCATAGAGCACGGTTCTCTCTCTAGGAACTTCTCAGCAAGCATTAAACAAGGCCTTCACTGCCACTGCAGTGGCAAGGCACTGTCGGTGCCCTCATCTCCTGTATGTTTGCTTATGGTATATTTATAGGGGGTTTCTGGTATTCTGAATATTGTTTCTTGAGGCTGTACGTAGGGGTGCAAAGTACTAATCTGTGGATTCCTTTGATTAACAATTACCTGCGTACAGACTGGACTTGATTGCCCAGGAAACCATCTCCAGCCCTATCTTCCTACTTAAATGGAAGCCAGGTGCCTTATTACTGCCCTAGGCCCTTTTGAAAAGGCATGGTACCTTTCATCAAGAAACCTAAAACACTTGGCATTACATGAACACCCCTCCTTCCACCTCACATAAGAAACATGGAGACTTCTGAAATGAAGCACAAGTCTTTAGCTACCTTACAACAATTTCCTATCTTCACACATACAGTTTTACAGCTTTTAAGAAAACATAGGACAGCTATACTCTAGGATGACCTGTAGATGCACTGAAAAAATTGGTATCCCTGATAAAGATTATAAGGACTATACAAGTGGGTATTTGCAGTTCAAAAAGCAGGGTATATGTAGGAAGTGAAAGCTGTGCCCCACTCGCTATCAAACTGGGATTAAAGTAGGGAGATGCTGTATCCCTGGAATTGTTTACTGTGACTATGGAACAACTGGTACAATCATTATGAAATCTGCAGGGCAGAGTGATTTTAAATGGCCTATCCTAACATATGTGTTAATTACTTGGCTATCAGGGAGACAGAAAGAACAACTGGAGACTCAAAGGAAGTGGCAAGATAAATGGACTTTTACCTAGAAGCAAGGAGTACTAATAACAATTTTCAAGAGGAGCAACAAATAAAAATAAAGGTGTCAATACCAAGCATGAATGCTTGCTAATTATTGCTGTAGCAACTTTTTACAGCTGAGGAAGACCAAGCCTCTGCTATATGATGGAGGTGTGCTGCATGCATGCACCCAACTCAGCCCCACATACCAAGTTCAGAGGTGAGGGTCCAGTCTGAGATCCACAAGCTGCACAGACCATAAGGCTCTGCAGCCTGATCTTTGACACCCCTGGTATACAAGATTATAAAAGCCTACTGTTGTATTTGGATGTGTTCCTGGGTTATTTATTATGAAAAACAGATATAGAGGAAGATGAGAAGAAACTAAATACTTTAAAAAATAAAATAAACATTTTTAAAGATATGAACTTTGAGACTAGAAATGGGAAACTGTATGGAGAAAAGTCTAATTGCTATGAAAAAAAAAATCACATATAAGAAATGTAGAGAAATTCCAACAACTTCAGTGTGGGCAGGACATATGGCTAGGATTACATAAACCAGACTAACTGAGGCCATTGCTACAGCATCTGGCCTCCAGTCTTGTCAAATCAGTGTGGGCATAATACTGAGCAAACCTAAGAGCTCATTAAGAATTACTAGCTATGGGAAAGCCATGTCCTCAACAGAAACAGGCAAGAACAAATTTAAAACACTGCCAAAGACCTCTAGGATATATATCTATATCTACACATCTATAGATAACCTTCAATATTTTTTTTATTTACAAGGAAAAGTCACTATCATCCATCTATTCATAAACAAACATGCACAAAGGAAAATGGGCAAATCATCTCCTAGCACTTTGCCTTCACATCACAGTTGGTGGAAGCAGAACAAACATATGCCGATTCCAATTTCAGCATCCTATACACTAGACCAGGGCTTCCCAAACTTTTCCTCAACGTGACCCCATTTCCTCAGCATGACCCCTCACGTCCAACCCACAGTCCCCCACAACTCCAGGTGCCACCCACCCACAGCCCTCCAAACTCCTCCAGGTGCCCCAGGGCCCCCAGTCCCTATCCCCACAGCAGCACCAGAGCCCTGGCTGCCATCCACAGGAGGCAGCAGCTGCTGCGGCCAGAGCTGAGTGCAGAGCCCAGCTTCTCCGGAGCAGAGCCTGGTGGGGAGAGAGGAAGATGTAGGTTGCCTGCTGTAGGCTTGGGACTCCCTGCCCTGCCGCCGTGGCTACCAAGCTAAGGAGTCCCTTGCTTACCTGGCAGTAGCATAGGCACATCTCTGCACTGCCACTGTTGCCGTGCCTGACCTTGGTGGCCATGGCGGTACGGCACTCCCTCCCACAATGGGTCTCACCCGCTGAGCCACAGAGGTGAGTCCTGCCTGGAGCTGCTCTGTCCTAGCTGCAGCCCTGCAACCCACTGTGAGTGGAGAAATCTCAGGGGGCATATTTATTGCAACTCCATCCGCCGATGCTGCAACCCCATTTGTGGTTACAACCCACAGGTTGAGAACTGCTGCTCTAGACCATACCACCTCTCTAAGACACCAAGAGAAAACAGCATAAGCTAGTCAATAGCATTTGGCCCACAGAGCCAAAGGGTTTGCCAGTGCCCTCGCTGAGACTGGGCAGCAAAGAACTGCACCAGGCCTGGGAGCTAGGAATTGCGAACTGCATCTGCATTGCTGCTGCTTCTCTCCCTCCCCTCTCCCCAAGACTGCAGTGCAAATGCAGCTTCCAGACGATGAAAAGATGTACCAGGATGGGGAGAAGTGGAAGCTGTGTGGAAGCAGTTTCTAGTTCCAGCCCCAGTGCAGCCCCCCTGGGTGGAAGTTGCACTCGCATCACAGCCAGGAAGCAGAGGGCTGGGAGAAACAATGGCAGCACAGGCGCAGCTTCCATCCAGAAAAGAGCTCGCTTAGAGGGGTTGGAGAGCTGTGTCTCCACTGCTCCCACTACTGCTCGGCCCCTGCTCAACCCCAGCACAGCTTCTCACTGGCTGGAAGCTGCACTTGCACTGCAGCTGAGGAATGAGTGGCTGGGAGAAGCAGTGGCAGTACAAGCACAGTTCCAGCTTGCTGGCTCCAGCAAGGGCACAGGGAAAGCCCCCTACTGTCAATGTGCTGCAAAGTCATCTGACTCAGGTTGGCCTGGAGCTGGGTTGTCCCAGCATGCAGCCTGAAAAAGGTTGCTGGCCCCTGGCAATAGGGGCTGAGGGGAATTTTAGGCAGGCATGCTACACTTAACCAAACTGTAGTGGGGCCTAGAAACAGGGGTATCTTTATCCCCATTTCAACAAAAAGTGTCACAGGATCTTTAATGGCTCCCAAGTGATCTAGATCTACAGTGCAGATCATCTGCATAATGCTTTTAGATTGCACCCAAGCAGCATGGCTTGTGATTTGCAGCAAGATCATATTGCTATAGAGCAGTGGTTCTCAACCCATGGCACAATTAGCACACTGCTGTGGCCCATGTGACTTTTTTTTTTTTAATAAAATAAGTAAAAAGACATTTGACAGTTGTCACGGAGTAGGGCGCAGGAGCGGCTGTGATCTCGCTAGCGCCCCCTGCCATGTCAAGTAGGCAATCCAGCACCCTCTATTCTCACCCGCCACGTCTTTGATGAAATATACTTTTGTATATGGGAGGCTGCCTTCGATCCCCTTGTGCGCGGTGTATGCTAATACTGTTCCCCGTTCCGTTGGAGTGACCCAGTGCACCCCCAGCCTTATGGGCTATGCGTGCCTCCTACCTCCCCTTTAGCACGCCCCAAGCCTCGCAACTCTTCTGGACGTTATCAGGTCCTTTCCTTTCTACACCCTTGGGCTTGTCATGCACCCGGCGCCCCTTCTCTGGCGCCCCTGGGCTTGTCACGCACCCGGCGCCCCTTCTCTTCGTTAGCCCTTTCGGGCTTCCTAATGGTACTCTTTCCCGGTGGGCTCTGTGGCCTAAGCCAGATCTGACCCCCCCCCCCCGAGTTCCTACCAATAGTATGGGTCCTATTAGGCTCAGGCAACCTAAGCCTTACCTGGCCCCTCTGGGTTCCTGTCAATACTCTGTATCCAACAGGACTCAGGCAGCATAAGCCTTACCTGGCCCCTGTGGTCCCTCGGGTTCCCACCACAATGGAGACCCTCTGGGACTCTTTCTAGTCCGCACCCCAACTAGGGTTTCTATCAATCAGATGTGCCCCCTCCTGAGGCTTCTTTCATGTGCGCCCTCTCTTGGGCTTCTCTCACACACATGCCCGCTCCTGCAGCTTCTCTCCACTTTTGCCGGGCTCTTTCTAATCACTGACTCACCCTCACCGGGCTCATCTCCCTAGCAACACCCACCCGGGGCTTACGCTCGTGTGGCCCCCCCTCTCTCGTGGCCAGACGCGAGCCGCCCTCAGGCTTCTCACTGGTGCCCCGTCAGTGGGGGTCAGGTGGCCTAAGCCATGCCTGGCCCCCTGCCCCTTTGCCGGGGCCTGCTCCCCTGCTCGGGTCTCACAACTATCACCCATCCAGGGATGGGGTCAATCCCCCCATCTGCTGCGCCACCTCGGCGCCATACAATTGTGCCGTGCCTGGCATGACTGCCGCGCCCACACAGGGCACTAGGAACCCCCAAAATGCTGGGGAGCTCCTGTGAGGCCTCCTCGCACCCCTACAGACTCACCTGGTCCTCCGGTATTTACACAACTACCACAGCAGAACCATAAACCAAATGGCTATAACAAAACAATAAGCCTCCCAGCTGTAACGTAACAAGCTTCCTAGTACAAACATAGGATTAAGCACACTTGGCCTTCTTGCCATAGCCGCCCTATCAGGGTGCTCTCCACCCTGATCATGTTGTAACCGCGTGGGCGATCAGGCCGCAACCAACGGCTCCGCTCCGCTCAGTTCTACTGCAGAGGTCCTGCCCCCTCAGCTGCCAGAAGGGGGCTGCAAACTAGGCTCCGGCCTAGGCTGTTTATAAAGGCCCAGCCCTGCCACCTTCTGGTCACCTGACCAGCCCAGTTGCCCTAGCAACCATCACCTAGGTTGCCCTGATGATTGGCAGCTGCCCTTAACCCTTCCTAGGCACAGGGCACCTGCATGACCCTGTGACAACAATGTTGAAATGAGAGGCATTACAAAATATTGATTTGTATTGCATTATTTTCAGATAACAGATACAAAATATTTTTAAACGGATACACAAGTTAAGTTGCATGGGTATGGCCCACATAATACATTGAGAGCTGCAAATGTGGCCTGCTATGGCAAATAGGCTGAGAACCACTGCTATAGAGCATACCTTGCACGCATTGTTCTTCAAATAAACTGTAAGCAAAGCAGCAATACATTACAATTGATTATAATGTATTTATTATGGTAAACAATGCATAGCAAACTCAGATATATATGGTTAAAACATACCAAGAAAGGCACCAATATGTTGGGTGATGCCTCCTGCTTCCATTTCTGCCACTTGAGTTTTTCGCAGACCATCAAGTAAAGTTGTTTTCCCGTGATCAACATGGCCCAGAATAGTAACAACTGGAGGTCGTGGGGTTAACAAAGCTGGATCTGCAGGAGGCCTACAATTAACAGCAAAACATTTGCTTTGCAAATACCAGAAACATTATTTGTGTAATATTTAGGGTGATAATAATTGTTATGCAGAGTCAGCAGCCATGAATCATTACTTAATGCTGAATAGGTCAGTCAAGCTTCTCCCCAATTCTTCACATAGGAAAAAAAAAAGAAGTAATCATAACTAAATCAAGCACTTTGCTCCCTTTATAACAATGTTTGTTATTTCTGCATCATCTAATACAGCAGCTAACTGGAGAAAGCAAAGACAGTTTTTGTTAAGAAGTTGCATAAAAATCAACATCTAAAAAACACAAATAAAATGCCAGAATTCCTACATTAAGTTTCTGGGCAAAGCATTTAACCTGTTTAAAATTTACTTTTTAATTATCAGCTATGTATCGTTTCCTAAGTTATTATTTTAATATCATTAGGAAGATATTGGCATAAAATATATTATTTCAATTAACACAGTCAAAGAGAGCAATCAAAATTTTACCTTTTTACAGCATCTTTATTTTCTCTCATTTCCTCTTTACCTCTGTTTACTCCTGCCCACTTGTATTTCATCCCTGATTTTTGAATAGCTTCCTTTACCCACACTTCTTTTAAGACTGATTTTGATGTTAGTGACTTTAGGTCAATGTCTGTGTTCAACAGGGCTTCATAAACATGGTCTGATTAAAGAAATAAATTAGACAATTCAAACTTGATCCTCCAAAACACATGGGACAGAAGTAACCTTTAGTACATATATTCTTTCATCCAATAGTCCAGTTCAAGGAAAAGCAAATTAGGTAAAGGAAGAGTGGCAGCTTTCTCACTTTTCCTACATATACTGTATATAAATTAACTATTTATACATTTTATAGTTGATTTATGATTTCCCATTGTATTCTATTCAGAGAGTATTTTTGCTTACAAAGTTCCTGTAATAACTTAAGTAAGATTTTCAGAAATCAAAGTCTCATTAAATGCTATGCCATATTTTATTCTTATGCTTAACATTTAAAAACAGTGCGCTTTATATCCTGCACATACCATACACATATAGCATTAAAACTTAAAGGTCTCTGAACCAGTGGAAATAGCCAAAACAATTGCTTATAGTCCATAGGGAATCAGCTAATCACAAGATACTTGTTCTGTTGCCTTAGTTCCAGCTGTTACAACGTACTAGAAATTGCTAAAATACTTTCCTTGCATGACTTTCCAAGGTGGCTGCATTACAGTAAATGTCAGAGGTATAGAATGCAATTGTAAATGGGAGAAGAGTAGGTCCTTTTAATTGTAAGTGGAAAGCAGCCAAAATTAAGTGCCAAATTTTGCCCTCCAGAGCTCATAAGAAATCTAAATTTCATACTGTAGTTCAGGTAACACTAATACAGTGTGAGCAAATGGATTTATTTTTCAAAGTTACTTCCTCTGTAGTCCTAATCTATCCCAATGCACTAAAAGTCACACCAAGTGCCCCATACAAATTAGATTTGTTTTGCAGTTATCTAAGAGATACCTTTAAAAGTCTAGAACAGACCAATTTTTTTCTTTGCTTCAGCTCAAAGGAGTTAAGACTCATCATCATAAATTGGAGGGCTGCAAAAGAGCTACTGAAAGGAATCTCGGGCAAATCTGTTCATGCCACTGTTCATACCTTCTCTGGTATTGGAAACGCAGAACACACTGCAACAATTAAGAATTGCTAATGAGTGACATTAGCACCATTAGAAATCCTAATGAGTCAGCAGATCTCTCAGACAGAGACATGGCAGATTCTTTTTGTTCTTAGCACAAACTGAGAAAGGCTGCTGAGGTGGAATTTTACACAAGTACAGAATTAGATTTTAACACTCCCCTTTCCCCCACCCCCTCCCCTGCAAGAATATGTAGGTGCTACAAATATAATTATTCTCTGGCTTTGATGATCTAAGATGTACTAGAGGCTGCACTTGAAATAAACATTAATGTCACTCATCTACAGCCAAACCAGCAACCCACACAGCACAGACAAGGAAAGTTGCAATTTGCATGGGTGGAGGTTACACCTGTTTTAAGCAGATGTAACCTCAAGTATTATATAAAAAAAAACAACAACAAAAAAAACCTTAGCTTTCTTTGTATTCCACATTTTGCAATACTGCAGCTACATCAACAGCTGAAGTTGACGCAGAATCCCAACACTGATGAAGCCTAAATACTTCTATTTAACAGACACCTGGCATTTTAAAAGGGAGGAATTATAACAGCTTGTTTGCCTGTGAAAAGTCAAGATGTGCATTATCGTAGCACTGTAGTCTTATAATTGCCCCAATTTCTGTTTTGTCTTTTACTGTAAATTTTCAGCCTGGGATCCTCTCTGCACCTGAACCTTTTTTCAAGTGAGGTCTTCTGGGAAGATGTGTTAACACTGTAGTTACAGCAGCCCTACAGTTCTGCACTGAAACACTTGCACAATTTCCAGTCAATTTACATAACAGGTAGAACATTTTACTAAAGAGGGCTAGTGTTAAACTAGTTTTCTACCTGTTCATTAAAAAAGGTGCAGAATGAGAAAGAGAAAAGAAAATCCAGGTAACAGGATCAGAGCATAAAAAAAAGCTGGAAATATACACAGAAGAATTGTGCATCTACAAGCATTTTCTTTTTATTTTATTAACATGATGACATACAGAAAAACTTACCTGACAATAGGCACTGTGATTTATTGTGGAAGCTAGTAAATAAATGTTACTCTAGAGCAGTGGTTTTCAATCTGTGGTCCATAGACCCCTTGAGGGTCCACAGACTATGTCTAAGGTCTGCAAAAGATGATTATGTTAAAATCATAAGTATGTGAATAGTCACACCATCAAAGGGGTCCACACCACCTTTCAACATTTTTTAGGGGTCTACAAATGAAAAAAGGTTTAAAACCACTGCTCTAGAGAAACATTCCCCATTTAGGCTGTGTGAAACTTTGGTTGCCAATTCAATTTGGAGGAGATTCAGTGGTCAAATCTCTAAATTCGAATTGAATCAGGAGACCCATTAAAAAGTCCAAATCAAATCTGAAGCCTCCAGATTGATTCAGAAAAGCAGAGATTCGGAGCAGCCGGGGAGAGGCAGGCGCAGCTGCAGGTTCTCCCATGGCTCCTCTGGCTGTGCCTGCCTCTCCCCGGGTGGGGAGAGCCCTGGGGAAGCCCCCATAGCTGCCCTGCCCAGCCCCAGCCTCCCAGCACTTTTAAAAAAGCCCTGCACTCACCAGATGTAGCAGCTGCAACAAGGGCCTCTGAGGGCTTGTGGCAGAGCCCCGTCACCCATGCAGCGCGGGGCAGTGGGGATCACCACCCCTGCCTAGCACCTGCCCCATGGTGTGGGTGCAGTGTGGCTTGGCAGGGCACCGCACACCTTCTGGGAGCTGGGGCTGAGTGGTGCCAGGCTCTGGCTGACTGCTGAAGCCACCCCAGCTCCCAGACAGCATGTGGCAACCTGTTGAGCCGCACTGCACCTGCCCAATGTGACAGGTGCCAAGCAGGGAGGTGATCCCCACTGCCTTCCAGGGCCCCATGGTGCAGTGAGGAGCCTCTGCCATGAGCCCCCAGGGATCCTGATCACCACTGCTACAGCTGGTGAGTGTGGGGCTTTTTTCTAATTTTTTTACATGATGGGAGGCTGGGGCCGGGCAGGGGATGGGGCCGGGCAGGGTAGCCATGGAGGCTTCTGCCACAGCTCCCCCCCCATCCAGGGAGAGGCAGGTACAGCTGGAGGAGCTTTAGGAGAACCTGCAGCCACCCAGCTGTGCCTGCCTCTCCCCGGCTGATCCAAATCTCTGATTCAGTTGAATCAAATGCAGACAGCAAGTCAAATCGCTGTATTGAATCACTGTCCTCTGAATCAGCCAAATCCAAATTGAATACTTCCTTATTCGCACAGGTCTATTCCCCATATCATTCTTTAAAACTCCATTATTGCTTTAAAGTGTGTGTGTATTTCACAAAATTTTAAAATATTTTTCAAAAGAAGAAACAAGCTCACCTATGCCTTTTTTCATAACTCCTGCAAGTTCTTCAACAGTCATGTTATTCCATATTTCTACTACTACTTTTTTAACTTTAGGTTGTACTGATGGTAATTTCCGTTTTTCTTTTTTTTCCCACTACAAAGGAGTTAGATACGTACATTAAGATAAATTAAGAAACGAATTATTAAAAACAAGAATGAAAACTTAAAAATGAGTTAAAAACCAATTCCTTCATCTACATTACATACTAAAATTATTCAAGAAACTATAACAATTACTCGATGCTATTTTTGCTTCTCTTTTGTCTAGAGCACTGAAAGTCAATCAAATATTTTTTACTTTCACTTCTAATCAATTTTTCTTTCCAACTGGTGTCACAACATCTGGTTTTAAAATACTTCAATTACTTGACCATATTTGGGAGGGGGGAAAGAAATTGCAATTAACTTGCATTTGTCTTATAATTCTAGAAAAACCTTCTCTAGCTAAAGCAATAGTTCCCAAACTGTGGGTCCCTACCCCAAATGAGGTTGCAACATCAGCAGTTAAGGTTGTGAGATTTCTGCACCCACAGTGGGGTATGGGGCTGCAACGGGGCTGGACCAGCTCTAGACAGGAGTCACCTCCACAGTCTAGTAGGCAGGACCCAGCACAGGAGGGAGCACACCACCATGGCCTCCAAGGTGAGGTGTGGCAGTAACCGCATGCAGTTGTGCCCCCATTGCTACTGGGCAGACAGGGAGCACCTCAGCTTGGTGGCAATGGCGGTGCAGTGCTCCCTCCCACATCAGGTCCTGCCTGCTGGGCCATGGAGCCCCCAGGGGGCAGGGTAGCAGGGAAGGGAGCCCCAAGCCTGCAGCAGGCAGCCTGCATCCTCCCTCCCCATTGGCTCTGCTCTGGCCATACTGCCCACAGGGAAGGGGACAGGGGAGGGGGTGCAGGAGCCAGGCTCCATACTCCACTCAGGCTGCAGCAGCTGCCCCTCCCAGCGGGTGGCAGCCAGGGCTTGGGTGCCGAGGTAGGGCAGGGGGCTGCGGGCCCTGGTTTTAGTGCACCTGGGGGGCAGGCTACAGGTTGGGAGGGAGAGGCAACAGCAGGGCCAGGAGGCTGTGGGTCAGGAGTGAGCAGCACTGGCAGGGCCATGGGGCTGCAGGTTGGAAGTAAGGGGCCATTCTGAGGAAAAGTTTGGGAAGCACTGATCCAGAGTAATTTTACCTTGCATGCAATAAATTCACTACAAACAGAGCTTCTATCTATATAATGAAAACGCTCAGACTGATTTCTTGTACCGTGTACTTTCAGATAGAAAATAAAGTAACTGTTGGAACAGTTAATTACCATGTTTGTAGCTAGAAGCCTATATTGTAATAATGCAACACTGCCGAATTTGTCTGTTTGCCAGAGCTGTGGGTACAGCTGAGCTGGCAATGTAGGGTGTGCAGATGAGTGCACAGGCTTCCATTGTGCCCTGTGAACCTCCCGGTAAGGCAGACTATGCAGCTGGCGGCAAGCACAGTGTAACTGGACCAGGTTTTCCAACTTCAGCACTCCTGCTCGGTTCATTTTTCTACTGTGAAGAGTAAGGACAGGTTGAAAAAACAACTTTCAACTTTGAAAAGTATCTCCCAATTTAGCAATACTTTGAAAGCAGCAATCTAAGGAAGAAAAAAGAAAACATTTTCTTGAAAAGATAAAATGAGCAAAATATATTTAGCAACTGCAGTATTTTCTTTCAGATATTTTCCATTGTTTCTTCTTGCTCATTTCAAAAGCTTCTGTCCCCCTTTCTGTCTCCATTCACAAATCAATGAGTTACTTGCAATCTATTTTCAGGTCTCTTTGATTTTACTTAGTAACAGAGCTTATTAACCTTTTCGGACTCCAGGGCCTCTTCAAAACTTTTTGGAAATTAGTGGCACCTGCATTTAAAAATTAAGTTATTTTTTTACAGTGCTTACTTCTTGCATCCCATGATACCTTTAAAAAAAGGTATCACAGGATGGCAGTGTGGACAGCAGTGGGCACCACACCCATGAATGCAAGGCAGCACTGGCAGGGGTTGTCTGGTAAGGCACTGGGGAGCTTGAGGGTGGATATTTAGACTCCTAAAGGAGACAACTATGCCTACAGGAAGTAGAAGGGGATGACACTGGCTGCAGGAGGTAGAGGCTGGTGCCAGCTCAGGGCAGGACTCTGCTATGTCCTGCTCTTTCCAGCGCACATGGACAGCCTGTCCCCAGTCTGTACCTGAGCAAGCAAGCACAGCCCATGCAGTTAAGAGCTGCTCTTCTGGGGACTTGAATGCTATCAGCTGGAGCCACTATTCCCTACAGTCTCTCCTACCAACTCTGAGAGCATGGGAGGAGTGAGTGAACGAGCCAGGCTAAAAAACACAGCCCCCCCATGCATCTTTCTGCAACAAGGCAAACTGCTTCAAGAACAGGGGCAGTTAGTACAGGGGCTGCTGGATGAGTGGATGGCAGGAGTTGTATTTTTTAGTTCAACTTCTTCCCCCACTCCTCTAATGCTCCCAGAGCTGATGGACGGGGCTGTAGAAAATGGTGCACCAGGGCGGCACTTGTCCACGGGATGCCCAGCAGATGAAGGAACCAGCGCCTCCTTGCACAGGTGCACACCTTGCATAGGGGCCAGGCACCGCAACATCCTTCAAAGGATGTCATAGTACCCTGCCTGAGAATCGCCAATCTACAAGTATAAAATTCATGCTGGTCTTACTATATTGGATGTGGCCCTTACTATACAGTTAGGCACCTCCACCAGTTATATTGGTGCAGGTGTCTAACTGTAAGCATGCTGCAATGGTACAAAATATTTTACATACTGAAGCAAACTGCATCTTGCATAAGCCCTGCTCTGAATGATCACCTCTAAAGGTTTACGCCAGTGTAATGACATCAGTGCAGTCATATCAAACCAGATCTACATAACAAAGACAGATCTTAGCCTGGAGTGCAACACTCAACCTTGTTAATGCATCTGGGATGCTACTTCCACATCAACTGATCTCTCCAAGTTAACTCTGTCATCTTCCAACTGAAAACGTGGTCTACTCTATGCTCAAAAGCCCCATATCACCACACTCCCACCAGGCTTCTTCAACTAAATTTCCTTTTCTGTTGCCTGTTTAGACTCAGGGTGTCAAACTCAGGTCTCTGAGCCAGATCCAGCCACACCTGTGCCAGTGAGCAGGGCTGGTTCAGCAAGGCACCATGTGCAGCGTGCTCCCCATGCCGGCCCTGTGCTGCAAGCAGTGCATGCTGGCCCTGTGCACACACGGCCTGACCCGCCCTGACCCCAGAGCCAGTGTGCAGGGTTGGTCTGGCAAAGGCACAAGGTGGAGCTCACATCTCAGACTGACTCCTGTGCCACAAGCAGCACCAGTGCTGCATGAGGGATCAGTTCAAGATCCATAGGCTGGATCATGCAGTTCCATGGGCTAGATCCAATTTGTGGACCCTCAGTTTGACATGCCTGGTTTAGACCATGCTACCAGTCTTGATGCCCAGTGTCTTCTCTCACAGACATTCTTGTGCCATCTTCCATGTAGCCATTTGTGCTTGAACTGCTGAATTCCACTATATCCACAGCCGTCTCTAAAACTCATTTATGTTGCAATGCCTGTGACACCAAGCAGAAGGCAGTAACCAGACAGCCAGTAAGACATCGAGACAATGGACTGGACTCGAGATACGAATGACTTACTGAGCAATCACCTGACCTTACTGTTATCATCCTTGCCCTCCAACACTGAATCTTGTCAACTCAAGATCAGATGCTTTTCTGGACTGGACTCCTCTCATTTGTGAGGCACATAAATCCAATGAGGCACATACGACTGCAACCCAAATCTTGAAATGCAGGCTTCAGTCCAACTGCCCACTGACTTTAGCAGCAGTAAAAACTAAGGACTTCAGAATTTGAAACAAAGGCAAAAACTTTTAATTTGCTGCAGATTTTCATGAAATGTAGGTCTTACATAACGTGTGTATAAGTTACTGAACATCCAAACTGATTATTTAAAAAAAAAAAAACAGCCAACACTGACAATGCCTAACTGGAACACTGGGATGTCCTTGCTTTTCCAAATCAGATTTTTGCTGTTTTAATACATCGGGTATAGCTTTAAAGACATTTTACAAAAGGGAGCAAAGTCTCCTACAAACACCCGGCAGCCGACACAAAAGGACAGCACCCCAGACTGCTTCCGATGCCTTCAGAGAATGCATAAAGCACAGGTAATTTTCACCTCAGCCCACACTGAACCAGTTAGGAGATCACGAGTAGCCAGTTAGCGGTCAGGCAGATCCCCAAGGAGCTCCGTGAGGAGCTGATTAACTGAAAAGCATTGATGTTAGGGGAGAACGGATCATCCTTTCACCAGGTAACAAGGGTGAAGCAGCTACAGGAGGTGCTGCCAACCTTGCAGCCCAGGGAACCGGACAAGTGGCAGAGGTTTGGTGTGCGCAGGCTGGATCCATGGATGTGATGCAGAGTGCCAGCCTGACCCCACACTGGATCTGGCCCACAGGGACCCCAGCGGCTGGACACCTGGCAGCGGGGGGCAATGAATGCTGCCACGGCTCCTCTGGCCCAACAGAGCTAGCGGGTAACTGCACACCCCTGCCACGTACTTAAACAAGGAGCCCCCAGCCCATGGGAGCCTCCCTCTGGCCTGGGGCAGAAGTCCCGCCCCCCGCACGCTGCCGGGGGTCGTTGGCTGGGGGTGGAGGGGGGAACGACACGCGCCGCTCGGAGCGTTCGAGGGAGCCGCCCCGGCTCTCACCTCGTGCCAGGACCCCAAGCCGCCCTCCAGTCCGGGCCGGAGAAGATAGCAACTCATCTGAGGACAGGAAGTAGGGCAGGCGACCTTCCAACCCAGAAGCAATCCGGAAGCAACGCGTCGGGCATCACGTGGCGGGGGTGGGGCTTTCTCGCGCTGGTCAATGAACAGCCTCGCGCCCCGCCCCGCCCCCCTGCCTGCGGCCCAGTTGCTCCAGCTAGAAATAAGCGGGAAGATGCTCGAGTTGCTGGAGATGTGGGTGCTGAGATGGGCTTTACAGCTATTGAGCTGGCTGTTGCTGCGGCAAGGTCGGCCGGTATGCCACACCGGTCGCCCTCTGCCAGCCCGGCATAGCACACCTCGCCCCAAGCGCCGCACGGAACCGTAGCAGCCCGCGTCCCTCCTCTGAAATGCCAGTACGTGCTGGAGATGTCCTGGTCTAGGGCCGTGCCCCCTGCTACAGGGGAAGGCAAAAGCCCCGCCAAGTCCTGCCAGTCTGACCGAGCGGTGGAATGCCTTCCGGACTCCAAAAGAGGCCCTGCAGCCAGGAGCCCCGATTTCGCTCCTAGTAGGAGACCTGGTGCGCCCCAGTCAACGTCCCCCAGTGTCTACTGTAGCCAACACTCAAGAGGCTTGAGAGAGAGAGAGAGAGAGAGAGAGAGAGAGAGAGAGAGAGAGAGAGAGAGAGAGAGAGAGAGAGAGAGAGAGAGAGAGAGAGAGAGAGAGAGAGAGAGAGAGAGAGAGAGAGAGAGAGAGAGAGAGAGAGAGAGAGAGAGAGAGAGAGAGAGAGAGAGAGAGAGAGAGAGAGAGAGAGAGAGAGAGAGAGAGAGAGAGAGAGAGAGAGAGAGAGAGAGAGAGAGAGAGAGAGAGAGAGAGAGAGAGAGAGAGAGAGAGAGAGAGAGAGAGAGAGAGAGAGAGAGAGAGAGAGAGAGAGAGAGAGAGAGAGAGAGAGAGAGAGAGAGAGAGAGAGAGTGTGTGTGTGTGTGTGTGTGTGTGTGTGTGTGTGTGTCCAACCTCTTCTTGACCACCTCCAGTGATGGAGGGTCCACAACTTCCCTAGGCCATCTATTCCACTGCCTCACTCCTAGCAGCAAAGAAGTTTTTTCAAGATATCCAATCTAAGCTTGCTTTGCTGCAAGTTAATGCATCAGGTCTATATCCTCCCCTCTGCGGCAAGAGAAAAGGTGTGCTTTCCCTCCTCTCTATGGCAGCTGTTGAAATCTTTCAGAGCTGTCGTGTCCTCTCTTAAGCACCTTTTCCTCACACTGAACATGGACATAGCAATCACGTTGTGTTCATCTATAGTGAAAAAATTGTGCATGTGACATCAGCTGGCAGTGGCAGGAGTCCCTCAATACAAGGGTGGCTCTTCCAGTAAATAGGGAAGTCACAGGTGAGTCCAGAGATGACTGCAGAGGCCTCTGAGACCTGTGTGTTCAACAGCAGACATGGCAAATAGTTTCAGGCTCTTTCCCTTTTTTTCTTTGTTTTCAAGGAGGCAAGAGTACTAAATGGGACTGCTCAACTGTCCCTCAGGGTGTGCAGATCCCACTTGTGATGTACATGACCAGTGGGTTTTGAGTAGACCAGAATAATCTGTTTTTGAAGGACTTTTAAAATTAGAATGTAAAATAGTTACTAAGGATCAGTGCAAATATGCTTTTTGATTAATCTTTCTTGCTGACAGCTGGAAATTATTCCATTTATTGCCATAATGCTCTTTTAATTAGCATTGAAACATGTTGTATCCACATGTCTTGTAACCACAGATGCGTACTGTTGCAAATTAAGCCTTTATTGTAAAACATCTGGGAAAAGCCCACAAATTATTTCCGATGCTATGGCTAAGGATGATGGGTTAGGTTCTAGAAACTTCTTCTGTTGAACTGTGCGGTCAATTATTTGTTTTAACCCTTCTTTGAAATAACCAGCACTTATTATTTTTTGCTTCTATTGTAGTAAATGTCCACATTTTCATGTGCTCAGTTTAACTGCATATTAGGTTACATGTCTTGTTTTTAATTTATTTTTTATTTGTCATTCATTACTGGTCAGATGGTTGGTGGGTAAAGCAAAACTGCATGTCTCTGTCCATATTAGCATGTGGAAGGCCCTGTAAATGTACACACAAATAAATAGTTAAATAGATAAATATTAACTTGTATGTATGTGGTTGTGGCAGCTGAGCATATACTTAGGCTTTTTACAAATCTGGTTGCTATTAAAAGTCCACATGCATTCATATAACACCACAAACAATATATTTTAAAATTAATGCTTTCAAAATTCAGCTCCTTTCTTGAGGTGCATCAAATTCTAACTAGAGTTGCTCTCATGCACACGCTGAGAAACCTAAAGGATAACAGTGAGCACTGGCCACCCCATTCCTGTATGCTCTGGATAGTTAATGGGAGATTAGTTCCAAAGCTTTCCTGTAATTATCACGACAGAAAAAGTGCAGCTGAACTTGGGAAATCAGTACAGGCTTGTGGAGCATGTAAGGGTGTCTAAAGCATAGCTGTCTCTAATTTATTTCTGCAACTAGCCAGAACATGCAGGAGAGCCTGCGCATAGGATTGATCTGAGGCAGAGTACAGCTGCACATCACCATGTTTGCTGCAGCTGTGAGGACACTGCACATTTTTTCCTGCATTAGCTAGAGTGCAGTCCATAATTACTATCTCTTTGTTATAAGAGAGGCACAGCTGTCTTTATGCTCTTGGAAACAGTTACTTGTACACAATAAACTGGCATTTCTTTCAAATGTGATGGAGTCCTGTCTTCTCAAGAAAAGCCTGCCTTTAAAAAATTAGTAACAGGCAATTGCATTACTTCAGTTTTACCATGCTAGAATCAAGAAAAAAGAGCCAAAATCTCTCTCTTTGTAACACGAGATATATTTTAAGTTAAACATTGTTTTCTGGCAACCGGCAAAATGTTTCTCTAAGAGGAAGCTATGGAGAGTTCTCTGGTTCTTCAGTGCCTAATTAAGATGACTGAAGGACAGATTTGTCGGGACCGGCCATGGAAATGCCTGGCTGACCTGTGAATACCATGGTCTTGGACACATACATTTGGACCCCTTTCAAAAGGAACATTTCAAAAGAGCAGCAGGCAGATTTTTCTATTGTTATATGGTGTGAATTAACTGAGAACAATTCAAATGCAGTGAAACACTCCAACTTCAAAGCTACTTCATCCAGGTTAACACTGGAGCAGCTTTGCTGCATTTGAAATGTTCTTGGCTCCTTCATACATAATTCAAGCACTCCAGCTGTTGCCCTTTTGAAGCAAGAGCTCCAGATGGGGTTGCTACAAGTCTCAAACTTGACCCAGCCCTTCCCCACATGCCTAATCCTGCTCTTTCTGAGTGGGTAATAGAAACTCAGCTTTTCCTCAACACCTCACCTACAGCAGTTGCCCACACCTCCTCATGTGGATCTTGTGGGCGATTTCATAGCCTCTCTAATGTGGCCTAATATTTAACTCAAACCAGAGCTCTTAATCCTCTGATCCAATTTGCAAATTACATCTGTGCATCGGGTTTGATTAACAAAGCTGTTTGCGTTATTGAGCACATCCTTAATACATAAACACTCTGCTTTTCTTTTGATGCTCCTCTCTCTCTAAATAAGAGAAGCTGGATCCTGATGCCTTCACTTTTTCTATAATGTGCCTCCTTTGATCTATCTGTTGATAAGCACCAGTCAGCATAGTATCCTATTTTAAAGCCTCATTATTACTAGAAGGGATGCCACGATATAAATTATACCCAAAGTTCACACTCAGGTTTGCTGAATTCTCAGTATTCCACCTTTTTTAATATCTGTCTTTTTAATTATTGATACATCTTAATACATATTAAAAGTCTAACTCATAGGATCTATACTCAGCCTAAACAATCATTTAACAAAAGCAAAAGTTGTTGATGTTGCTGCATTGATTTTGCTATCTTGTTTTGCCCCCTTAGTTGCTCTTATCTGTGTAAATCAGACCTGGTTCACCCTGGATTTCATAGGATTGTGAATTCCTGGAGCCAGGGAATATCTCTGACTTCATGTTTGTACCAGGACCCAATTCAAGTGAGCACCAATCCTTGCCAGAGCCTCAGTTTACCACCGTAACATGACGAATTCTCATAAAAATGGCCATTGTTGTGTTTGAATTGTTTGCATATATAATCTCATTAACTGGGATTTGCTTTTTGTTTAAGAAATAAATACCAACAATCCCTTTCACAGGGAATTTGTCCACAGGTTAGTTACATAACACAGTCCTGAAGCCTTCTGTCAGATGACAGGGCTACAACTTAATTAAGGATCCACCATCCCTGTGTGTGTGAATGCAGATATATTAATGATTTGATAGCGGGATCTCTGTTGCATCTCTCTCTATTTAAACAAACAAACCTTAACAAAGATAGATGTAGGCAGACTGTAAGAATGAATGCTAGCTGACATTTAAAATGCAATGTATTCAATACAAGTTGTATTTTCAAAACACTTATTTGAATCACCGTTTTTCCTTGCAAAACATCCACTCCTGAATCGGCAGGCAAGCAGGATTTGCATTATTTGGCTTCATGCCTGAAACTGCAGCTTTTTTTCCCAATAGGAACTAATGCAAATTTATTCCATTTGCAGCCAGCTTCCTACTTTGAAACTGTTCACAGGCTGCACTTACTAGAAAATAGAGTCTATGCGCTGATGAAGAACATAGTGGAAAATTCTAAAACAGCCTCTCACTTCTTAATCCTGACTGGCAAATCACTGCAGAAGTGTGCTGCAGAAAGGGGAATGTGTGACACAGATCTGTCTCTGACTTACTTACCGAGCAAAGCTCTGCATAAGGCACCTTATCAAAGGAGACACCAAAAATCAAGCTTTTAACATGTGTCACTAAGTCCCCAGGAGGCAGGGGGTGCTTGCTCAGGATGACCCCAATTTTGTGTTTTTGGAGTGCCCTCCTCTGCCCCCTGCCCCTTCCCAAGCCAGCCCTTCTACAGCAGGGGGGAGCCCAGGTTCCTCCCCACTCTGAGACCCTGGCCTTTCAGCCCTCACCTTCCATGGTTCTGTAGCCCTGATTCCAGGAGCTACCATCCACTTCTGCTCTTGAGAGGTCTTTATTTCTAACAGGGGAAGCCAAGTGCAACCAAGCCATCAAGCAGACATCTCAGCTTCAAGAAAGGCATTTACTGAGGCAAAGGTACCAGCCAGAGGTTCTTTACCCCACCCTTCAAAGGTTTAAGCAGTTCCTCTGTCCCCAAACTAGCCAACACAGTCCACAGCACCTCCAAAGACTGCTCTGCTGTCCTCTACCCAGGCTTTTCGAGCTCCTGAGCCCCCAAGGTCCCCTGCTGGCCTCCCTCTTTCCAGATCTTCTTGTCCTGCACCTCTGCCTTGGCATTTAACCCTTCATTCTCTGTGCATAGGCTAGCAAGGTGAACTGAATCATGCCCCCTTACACAAACCAGGAACTCAGTGAACCCAGAAATCTTTGTGAGCCCCAAAAGAAGAATGTGTTGCATTTAAAAGCTCATCTAACTTGATCCCAACTAGGCAGTTGGTCCAATCAAAGGCTGGTGCTGAATGCACCAAAATAAGAAATCCTTGTCTCTTGGATGTGTCAGAACACAGCCAACAAGTCTATGTGGTGAGGCCTGAACCCCCTCCCATTGCCAACCTGCACAGTCACTAATTCACCTCTACAGATCGCTTCTTGGCCTGCTGGCTAAGATCTAGTGCAGGGGTGGCCCACCCGTGGCTCTGGGGATCAAACTTCTGAGTCCAACCGGAGTAACACGCTCTCTGCAAGCGGTCGTATCACGTCACATAACACAAGGGCTATGGCAGCTGGTCACCGCGTGCTTGTGCAAAGATTCAAGGAGACGCATATTAACTTCTGAAGAGCCGTGGGTTGGCCACCGCAATCTAATGGGGGGCATTGAAACTCTCAGGGCAGCGGGTCTGATGCCAGCCAAGCTGTGGACCTCTACAGCAGTGGTCTCCAAAGTGGGGGGCACGCACCCCAGGGGGTGCGCGAGATGATCCCAGGGGGTGCGCAAAGAAAATATTAGACCTTGTATTTTTATTATATATATAAAAAAAAAGAAATTAAGCTTTACTAATATTTAATATACACATTGACACCGGCGCCCTCACTCAGTCCGTATGGCGGACGGTCACGTGTCACGTACGGTACATGAGGTATCCTGAGGGAAGAAGCGTTCGCTCACTTTCAGTGTATTGTGATGTATTGCAGTTTAGGTGTTTTAACTAAACTAACCCTCACAAAATGGACAAGTGGCTTAAAAAGATTCCTGCAAAGAAACCGCAGATTGAAGATAATACTAATAATGCGAGCACAAATGAACAACAAGAAAATGGCAGAGCTGACACTTCTGCTCCTAGTACGAGCTGTTCAGCAGCCACATTACTAGGTAAAAACAATGACGATTTAATTTCTATTTTTTGTGTGCGTTTTATAATGTACTAATATATTAGTCCATGTATATAATTTATAAATAAATATACATATATTGGGGGTGCATGCTCAAAAAGTTTTTACTGATGGGGTGCACGATCAGAAAAGTTTGGAGACCACTGGTCTAGAGAGGTAGCAGCCAGGTACTGGGTTTAACTGCCTGCTCCTTTCCTTGCCTTGTTTGCAACTTCTTAGCGTCTTGATCACTAAGTGACCTTATGCTTGGGTGAAGCATAAGGGCGGTGTCGGGCTCCACGTTAGTAAGGGGAAGCCGCGGTGCAACTGCAGAGCTCGGTGGCTTCGCAGCCCCTTGCGCTGGCAGCTGAGCCCATCCTTGGGCTTTCTTGGAAACCGTGCGAAGCCCCTTCGCCTGGCGACAGAGCTGAGGGCCTGGCTCTTCCTGAGCTTGGGTCACTGGGATTTCGGATTCGCAAGAGGGCTGTATGAAAAGGATGTATAACCCTCCCCTCAGCTGTGTCGAGCCCTTCTTTTTGTTGCATTCGTCCCCTCACAGCACCCTCCGCCTGGCTCCGGGCAGGCACCGCCCTCACGACGCCGCTCGCCGAGGCGGGGCGGAGCTGGGGCCCTGCAGCCCGCTCGGCCGGATCCCGACATGGAGGCGCGGGGGCAGCAGGCGGCGACGGGCGCGGGGCTGCGGGGGGAGCTGGAGGCGCGGCTACGGACGCTGGGCATCAGCCCGCTCTGCGTGGAGCACCCCGAGGTGCGGGCGGGGGCGACACGTGGCCGCCGGGGGCTCCCCGTGTGCCCGGAAGTCGCTGCCCCGCGCGGGCCTTTAGTTTGACCGCTCTCCCCCGCTTCCTCCTCTCCAGGTCTTCACGGTGGAGGAGCTGATGCAGCACGTGGGGCACCTGGGCGGCGGGCACAGCAAGAACCTCTTTCTGAGGGACAAGAAGAAGAAGGGGCTGTGGCTGGTGACGGCGCTGCACGACCGGCAGGTGAACCTCAACGACCTGGGCAAGAAGCTGGGGCTGGGCAGCGGGACCCTCCGCTTCGCAGATGAAAAAGCCATGCAGGAGAAGCTGAAAGTGGGCCAGGGCTGCACCACCCCCTTGGCTCTGTTCTGCGACACTGGCGGGGGTGTGAGGTTGGTGCTGGATGCCGGCTTCTTGGACGGGGGCTATGACAGGGTCTACTTCCACCCCATGACCAATGCCGCGACAATGGGCCTGACGCCAGAAGACTTCTTGAGGTTTGTGAAGTCCACGGGGCACGATCCCCTCCTCATCCACTTCGAGGACAACGCAATGTAGGCCGATGTCACCCTGCTGCAAATTTTGCCAGGGCTTATTAGCTGATGACATACTAGCTACTTACAAACAACAGGCGGGCACCTACGTTTTTCATTCGGCAGCTTTGCATTTTATAACGCAGAGTTTCTTTTCTAATGAAAGCACAACCTTCAAATTGTTCTAGACTTAAAAAACAAACCATTTGCTTCTGCTACAAGATTACTTTTTGGTTTTGGGAATCTGATCTCTCTACATCTCTTGCTATACCACATAGAGTCCCACTGCAGCCGCTTTACAGTATTCTCTTAACAAATTGGATAAAACAGAAACTTCTCTTCATTCATACTGAACTGAAAGTTGAGAGGGGGGACTGGCTCAGCCTGGAGTACTGGAACATTTGCAAAATCTGGGATCATGTTCTCAAGTGGCAGAGTCCATCATGAAAAGGAGGTAAATGGCATGCCTCCCTCTGCATTTTCATTTTGTTGGTTTGCCTAGAAACCAACTTTGCTATATTAAAGAAAATGTTTGAGTGTCTATTAGCTGTGGTGCAGGTTTATTTCCTTTCCATCTTCACAATTAGTTCTGTCCTGCAGTCTCATTGGAAATGGGGTCTCTGCTGGTATCAGTCCTGCATTCCAGCCATTGGGTTTCCTTTGTTTAGACAGCTACTTTGATATATGTTGTGGGAAATGAGAGAGAGAGAGACCAAGTTCAGATTTAAGGCCAGATTCTCTCTCTTCTCTTTAAAGCCAGCAGGGACTGGAAATTCCTACAAGATACTCCTTGTTGAGTTTGTTCCAGCTTGTTCGTTCAGGGAGCAAGAACCTGCTGTCTTACAGAAGAGCCAGAGCACAAGGGTTTCAGAGGCCAAGCTCCACCTGCTAAGAGGTTATGCAGAAGCTCAAGTCCATGGTGACTCTCCACACATCAGTTCTTGGGAATGGACTGTCTCCACCTAGTCATTCTTCTCACCACCTTAACAGTGCTCTACAGGAAGGGCACCTGAGCTCATCTTCTGCACAAGGGTTATAGCAGCTGCCTGTGGTGAAACTGTCCATATATGGATCTGGGAGGTGAGATTCTAAATTATCACAAGATCTGGCGGTCATTGAAAAGAATTTCATGTACCTGGAGTTGTGTGTCCAATTTTGGCCGTGCTGTCCCAGAAAAAACAACCCAAGATTTTTATTTGAGTGTAGCCCTTAAAAAAAAAAAACAACAACTGGCAGTTGCTCCCCAAGGAGGGAACAAGCACCAGGTCTGGGAGGGCCATAGCCAGTTGACACCATCCCCTTGGTGTCAAAAATGCTTGATCTTAACTGGAAGGCTGAGGTACTGATTTTTTTTTAATTGTTTCCGAGGCCAAAACAGTTCCAAATTAAGTCCCAAATTTTGACTGAGCAGAGCTCAATCTTTCAAGTCTATATGACGCTACCAAAAATATCCTACCTCCCGTACTCCCCAGTCTGGGGCTTCAGCTACTCCCAAATCCATGGCAAACATCCTACTGTGCAGGTCCTAGGCCCTAAGGCCTTGGAGTTCAGATTCCCCCTAGCCTTACTCACTTAGCTAAAAGGCCAAAGGAGCAAGTTAGGGGGAAACCCCAAAAGCAATCCCACATCACCATAAATGATATAGCTAAGATGCTCACATTTAGAGGCATTTGTAGATTCACAATTGTCAGCCTTCCTCTCCGTGCTCTCTTGCAGGTTTTGGTAAGCCACTACATTACATACATTTTTATTTCTTCTTCACTCCCACAGCTGAGCTGTTCCTTTCTTTCCCATTTCCAGTGATTCCTGTTTCTCCACCAGCCTTAAATGTCTGGCAAACAACACAAAATGGAACCCCAAACAGTTCACCCAGAATCCCTCTGGAACCCCGTTTCTCAGCTTGGCACAGTGAGGCCCTGTCTTCCATGAGGTGGAGCTGGATCAGGTTGCCCTGCACTTCATCCGCATATAAATATTTAGAGCATCCCAGGGCTCATGACAAGAGCATTAGGTTTCAGTCTTAAGTTGGGGTTCATTTAGCAAGTTGATCTTGTGGTATTTAGAGTACACCCACATACCGAGCTAGGGGGTCACCATGGCTGGTAATGCCATTGACTCTGGTGGTGTGCAGCCCAATGAACTATGCTTTTGAATTTAGACTAATAATATGCTAAGATTTTGAAACATTTGAAGTGCGGGGTGGTGGTGGCTGGTAGTAGGGCCACATAGTTCTTGACTGACTCATGGGTTTGGAATTGATTTGGCTTGGAACAGGAAAACATTTACCTAAAAAAAAAATCATGTGAGATAGGGGGCACCTGAAGCCCAAGGTCTCTGGTCCTTGGGCTTGCGTGTAAGATGCGTGCCTGGATTTGGGGAGTATCCAAAGCCTCAGACTGATGGGTCTGGGAGGGAGCCATGCAGCCTTGATGATTGAGCTCTGCTCAGTTGAATTTTGGAACTTGACTATTGGGGTTTGCTCAAATGAATCTAGAACCAATTTGGCCTTTGAAACAAAATAATAATAATAAAAACATTTGTATTACATGTAAGTAGGTGCCAAAGTGCTGCTTAAGGGCGTGTCCATGGAGTGCCTGTGCTAAAACTTGCTGTTTTTAAAAAAGGTAACATGCATCAATATTGGGTGAACTAAGTACATGGGTACTATTTGCAAATTGCTAGAGCCGTGTTTAAATTCAAGATTATTGTTTTTGAATTTCCTCCTTACTTCCAAGTGTTCAGAGGGAGCAGGGTCTCACAGTAAGGAGACAGGGAAGGAGCTGCTAGGGGAAAAAGTTGGGGTAGGGGGAGGAAGCAGAGAACAAGGGAGCTATCTGACCCCCCAGATTTATTTTCCTTGCTGTAGCAGTAGGAGAGAGGACACATTGAAGGCAAAGCTCCAATAATTAGAATCTGTACCTGGAAAATAATTTTATACATTTTCCCATATATAGAATCTAATTATTCGGGAGTTGTCTTCTAATGAGGGTCATCTTCTGTTTGAGTAAATACAGTAATAAAGACCATGAAAAACAAAATATTTGAATTCTTAAAAAAATTGAATCTCCTACAAAATACAATGCGAAATCTCTCTTTGGGACTTGTGCTGCATTTTAATAATATGTCCTATGTCTTCAAAAGGATTACAAAAAAAGGCAGCCTTTTATGTACATTATATGATGTTGCATTTTTTTCCTCATAACAGAATTAAATCCTTTTTTAGAAATTAAGACAATCATTAACTGATGTGAATTAAGAAAAAAATTCCACTCAGCAGATTATTTCAGTATATCCATGGCACGGTTGTTAGCATCTACTGCTGAAGCATTTGACATTTGCTACTTTCAGAGTAGCTGAACTATGAGGGACAGGTGACCTGGTGTGGCAATTCATATTTTCTTGCCCACCAAAAAGGTGCATATTCACCATAGGTTTTCCATCAATGCATGATAGCAGATGCCTCACTAGGGAAAATGTTTGATCAGAATGGGCTGATCGGTTAGGCTAACAGAACCTGTATGGAACAGTAAATAGGAAGATGATTAGCTACATGCGCCTTTGTACATTTTAGTTAAATAAAAGATCTAAATACAACATCTAACAATGAGTAGGCAGATTCAATGAACTTTCTGAGCGTTTTGGATCCACAAACCACAAGACCGCAGGACATTAAAATGCAGACCTAAAAATCAGCAGATATTAAAGTACTGAAGAAAGCACTCCATTTAAGGTATCTTCTGGGCACCCAAAATCCCTAAACACTTTTGAAAATTTACACCAGGATTTCCATGAGATATCCATTAACTGTTCTGAAGTCAGAAGATGACATTCTGAAGGAATAAAAATGACTTAAATCACCTCAAATGAGGACCATTAATGACTGAATGGTGCCTATATTTTTCAGCTACCTCTACATTAATGTAATAACAATTTGATATGTTTTGCAGGTCTTAAAGGCTAAGTACAGACAATCAAAAAGCCTGAGGCTGAATCAATTCAATCTAGACAGCTTCTAAGCTGTATAGGTTGAACTGATATCCAACTTAACTGACACTCAGTTTTCAACTGGGAAAGGCCCAGGCCAGTGCAGGGGGGCAGGCACTAGAGCATATCTCCCAACTTTCTGGCCATTGCCAGCCCAGTCAAGTGTCCCCAAAGCTCTGCTGTCCCCCCACAGGAGGTTAAGAAGCCGCCTGTCTGGGTGCTGGCCCACCTTGGGGGAGCCTCCTCCTCAGATGGTTTCCCCCAGCCCAGACAGCCCTGGGGAGCTGAGGTCCCCCCAGCTCACCTGCTAATTGCTTCAGTGGCTGCCACAGGGGAGGGAGAAGGAGACCTCCGGGTCAAGTGTCTGCCTGTGCAGCCCAGCATGGGGATACCAGGAAGTCCCCCACCTTGTGGGGGGCACTCCAGCCCAGCGTCCCCCAGTCTGGGGCAGCCCCAGGGACCTGAAGGGAGTTCTTCCCTTCCCAAACCCCAGCTCCTTGCCTTAGTTGCTGCAAGTCTCAGAGATAGCCTAGGGAGTGGAGGGAAAGTTCTCTGCCCTGCATTAGTTTTGCTCAGACTCACAGCAGCTAATGCAAAACTGGCTGTTGAGGAGCAGGAGAATTTCCCTCTGACCCCTGAGACTGGCAGGGGCTGAGGCAAACAGCAATGCAGTTCGGGAGGGCAAGAATTCCCCCCAGCTCCCTGGGTCTGCCCAAGGCTGGGGGACCCTGGGAAGCCCTACAAGGCAGGGGCTCCTCAATATCCTCATGCAGGACTGCATGGGCAGGCACTTGGCCCAGAGGTCTCCTTCTCCCTCTCCTGTGGTAGCTACTGAAGCAATCAGCAGCGGGGAAGAGGGCTAAAAGCCTGCACCACAGGGGCTTCCCCCCAACATGCTGTGTAGACCCTGCCTTGGGAGGCTGCTCCCTTGGCGCTGTGGGCTGATGGACACAGGGAGGAAGCAGGCTGAGGCGCAGAGGGGTGACGCAGTACCTGCTCCACTAGAGCAGGCAGCATAGCCCAGGGCTGTAAAGCATCATGGGATGCTATGGGACTGTGAGTTAACTTGAACCAGGAAAGGATCTGGGACATAAACCAGTTTGACCTAAATCAGTTAAGTCTGATACTACATCCAACCAGATTTATCTTAAACTGATTCTGGCCATTTTGAAAGTGGTTTACGTGCACTGAACTTCTGTTCTGTTACAGGTTTA